TCTCTCTCTCTGTCTCTTTCTGTCTCTTTCTGTCTCTCTTTGTTGGTTTGCTTGTTATCCCGTGTTCTGTTTTGTTGCCTTGTCGCCCATAAAAAACAGTGGCAAAACAATGCCAGCTAACTGAGCCAAAACAATTGTAGCTTCTAGACCTGAACCAGCCATTCTTACCATTTTCACCATTTTCCCCAGCAGTTTGCCTCGTTTTTCCATTATGTTAACGCGATCGTTTTTCTGGCCGCTTTTTCAATTGACCGTTCAAATCGGAACAAGGCTCAGCCGGGATAAGCCATGTTTGTAGCCCCGCAATACAGTTCTCTAAAACGGCCCAACATCAAATTAATGTACACTGAGCAAAAAACAAAACAATTAATAGTTTACCACTTTTGCGATGCTTGAAAAATTGTAATTTGTTAAAAAATTGTTCTCATCACGCTTATGTTCGCTTTAACATCAATCATTTGATGAGGTAACAAAATATTTCGAGACTGAAGATAAGAAATTTTAATACTAAATCTTATTTGTTACGATAAAAAATACACTGTTGAGAAAATTACCCGTTCAAGATTTTATTAAGTTATATAGTTTCAAGATTTTATTTGTAATAAGCTCAGGTAGTCCAAGTAATCTTCTATTTTAAAATTATACAATAAATAATAAGTTATGAAATAATTTAAAGTCATAAGAAAGTTAATGGCAAGATTTATTTTTTCTTAATCTTTTTTCATTTTTAAAATGATTCGTTCTATTTTTAATATAGAATTTGTCTGAGCTGAATAATTTATTTGGACAATTCTGCGTTTGCTCTTAAATATGCTATATATTTATATTAGTTTAATGTTTGTTTTTTGTTTGTTTTAAGCGCTGCCATCTCAATTTGTCTTATTTATTTACGTATCTGTATTTTTGTGACGAATAATATTAATTTGAATAGTTGTTTATATATTTTTTATACATATTCTTTTATATTATTTTTTAATATATATTTTTTTAAATGTATTCATTCTATTTGCTCAGTGTAGGGTCACAAAGGGAGCTCCTTGCTCTCTTTGCTCTCATCACACGCCTCAGCTCCGAGCTGGGCTGGGCTGGGCTTGGCTGGCACTTTGTGCTGATCGCTGATGCGCATTTGATTGCTGTTGCCCTTGTTGCCATTGTGTGTGTTGTTGTTATTGTTGTTGTTGTTATTGTTGTTGGCGATCCTGGACAAAGCGTGCCTAAGTCCTTGGAAAATCGCTTCTAGTTCTTTTTTTTGTGCGCTGCGCTGCCTTTTTTGTCGTTCTTACTTTTTTCCCAATTTCCTGCAACTAATTGCGAGAAAAATCGTTAAGACCTGGCGCAGATTAAGATTTGCTTATGTTGATGATTAAACCTGGAGTTGGACTTGGAGTAGGAGTTGAACTGGGCCCAGGATTCGAATTGAGCTGCAGCTGGGTCAGCATATAAATAAATATATATATATATATATATATATATTGATATGTGTTTATTATGAGCACTTCAATCATTAGAAAAGGGTGTGAAACAGGCGCGTCCACTTGAAAATCTCGTTATCCTGTCAACGCCAGAGTATGGAAAAACAGCCAGTCATCAAGGGTTGGAGTTGCGGTTAGAATTGGGGTTTAGAGGAAGGTGGAGGGATGTTGGGCTGTGCGCACAGAGCGAGTCATTATCAAGTGCTGCTCCAGCAATTGGCAGCTGTTGGCTTCTTCGCGACGCGTATCGCTTACAAGAGTTGAATGAATGAAAAAAGGGAAAAGAGCAAAACAGCAGCCAGCAGCCAGCCGCCTACACACAAAAACCACCAAGTGGATCAACAGCAGCAGCAGCAGCAGCAGAAGCAAAAGCAGCAGCATCAGTGGCATGCCTTTTGTCCCATTGTTGTGCTCGGGGTTTTGGCTTAGGACGAGCGAGCATCGGTTAAAGCACGCATAAACTACTGAAGGCACTCGAGAACGCCTCGACGCGGCAACTCAATTGTTTTGAGATCAATTTGCAACTTAATTGAAATCCATTTAAAGTAATGAGAGTTACTAACTTACCCGACCCTTTCCAGCTCGCCCCGAAAAAGGGCTAACACTCTACCCTTGCTTTTTTCGCTCTCCTCTTTTCGGGCTAGTCCGGCCCAAGCCGCAGCTCATCCCGTGCTCAAGAATTATAATCCCACCAGTTTAACTACATAGTTATATATACCTGCTGAGGACTAGATCAATTTGCAAAACCCTCTGAAGGCAAATTGTCATGTTTGCCACACCCGCTGAAACGAAATTCATATATACATCTATATAGATCTATATAAATCTATATATATCTATATGTATTATATAGAATGCAGTAATTTTTGTTTAATCTCTATGCCTGATCAATTTGATAGTCCATTTAACAACTAATAATAATCTATTAACCCAAAATAAGTTGGCAAATCTACCAATAAATGGGATACTGTCAGTGTTGTATAATGCAAAATATCTATTTATATATCTGGGAGCTTCTGCAAACACTAGTCCAATTAATAAAAATAGAGAACGACTATCTTAAGTACGCCAAAGTATATATACCCTTCCAAATCGTAGTCCATCAGCGGACATCCAAAATTTATAATTTAACAAAACTCGACTAATTGTTTCTATGAAAAATATTTGATTTAGTAGTCAGATTTTCATGATTTTTTATATAGTTACAAGAACTTTCGATTGATTGCTTATATGGCAACTACATATATGATATAGTGATCCGATCTAGTCTGCTCCCTCAACAAGGCGGATAATCGTTTAGTTATGCTGATAAAGAATATATATATACTTTATAGACACTCTTACTCAATGCTTTAGAAACTTCACCAAAAACGAGAACACACTCAGAAAAATCGCCATGAATTTTATATATTCGTCTTGTTATTCAGAAATTGTATTTATTTTTTTAAGTGCAGCTATAATTTATAAGGCATAAAGCAGCTAAACTGTAATATAAAAGCAAAGCCAGTAAATTTAATTTAGAATGGATTTATTTCAAGAATCGGAATCCCTTTAAGAATGCATTACTTAATAATAAAAAGGAGGAAAAATACCATATTTTATATTTAGAAATAATATCTAAAAACACGACAAACTTTAGTTTTTCTTTGAGATTTGATTTTGAGGTCGATATTCTAAAATTCAAGCGATTTTCTGAGTGTAGCCTCTGCCACTTTATATCATTATATTGCGTATTAACTGTCGGGTCATTATCCTTCTGTTTCGCCTGCTGTACTCGTTCCTACCGTGGTCTTTGTGCTACTGGCAAATTATGCGGTGTGCCACGCCCACACGTGATTCTGGGGCATTAAGGGCGCCTGAGCAAGAACAACAACAGTTTTTGGCAATCACGCAAAAATCAAAACAATGTCAAAAATAAGAACAAAAAAAAAAAAAAAAGAAGCAGAATAATATGTGTGTGTGGCGCATTATCCGTTGGAGCTGTGCAAATGTATGCGAAAAATATGCAAAATATATGCAAAAGATTGCCAAAAAATAAAAGAGCAGAAGAGAAACGAAAATGTAAACAAATGTGAGCAGCGGAGAAGTCCATTAAAAAGGGAATAAGTGCGTGTAAATCCTGGCCGCGGGATATTTTTGTCATATATTATCAGCGCATATTACTTCATCGAAAATGAAAAAGCTCCCATTCCCCATTGAAGTGAACACGTGTCTGTGTGTGTGTGTGTGTGTGTATGGTGTGTGTGTGTGTGTGTGCAGAGTGCCAAGAGCTGAGCATTGAGTTGCTTCTGAGTAGCTGAGCAGGATTGAGGATTGCTTTTTAAGGACATGACCACGCGCCCACAACAAATTGACAGGGGCACAAGGACAGAGAAAGAGAGAGAGCGAGGAAGAGAGAGAGAGAGAGAGAGAGAGTGTGTGTGTGTGTGTGAGCTAAACTGTGGACCACATATATAAGTTGATCCCTTGTAAATCTCTAAATTGTTTTATGAGCATATTGCAAAAGTAGGTGTAAACCTAATTTTCCTTTATGTGTCCACGACCTGTGCTCCGCTCAAAGCTCAGGCGACCGCAAAAAGGACATTTGTTGTTCCGGCACAGCAGGATACACAGCCGGCCAGGATATATCTATATATTGTATGGGTATCTGTACTCAATCGGTCGCTTCCGCCTTTTGTTTGAGCCTCATTTAAATCATACCGCTGGCCAATTTGCATTCGCACCACAACCAAATTGATCCGCCCTAATCTCCACTCTTCTTGCCTTGCGTTCAACTCGTCGAAGGATCGAGGCGAAGGAGTTCAGGATTTAAACTGAAAAGACAACAACAACAACAGCAGCAAAACAATCTCAGTTTGCCATTCGCCGCCTCTTCGCCTTGCCTTTGCTTGCCTCGCAAATTGAAGTCAGTCTGTTGTCCGGCCAAGAATATGGAGTGGAGTGATTACTATTATATATATATGTATATATATATATATTCTATTTCAATTTGAAATAAGCGTTGATAGAAGTTTTTTTTATATTATTTTAGATCACAAAAGGCATTATTCTCTGGCAATTTAAAATATGCTTTAATACAGGTAATTATTTTATATACATTAAGTAATTAATTTAATTATTAAGTTAATTTAACACTTTAACAATTTAACACACTTAACACTATTCTACCTGATCTAATAGAATTTGAATTTTTATAGAAAACAACCAGCAATAAAAATTCTACAAATTCTAAAATTCTGTTAAGCTTCTCAAAATTGCACAACTTTAAATTATATTTTTTATCATCATATTTTACAAATACTATTTTCTAATATTAACTAGGCACTATCTATAAATCTTGTTGTGTTATTTATGTATATTATTTGAGCAAGTTTCATATAGACAGACTTTAAAATCAATTTTAAATTTCAATTGAAATTCAACGACACTTGTGTGGCGCCATCTATACTTCATTTCTTCAGTTTACTCATGCTGCCCAGCTGGCAACGCTGCCGTACACAGCTGTTTGCTCTCAGTAATCTGGCAGCCCGAGTCAACATATCGATAATCGAGAGAGAATAACACAGAAATAAACAAATAATGCGGCAAACATAAACAAGTGAAACAAAGTAAATAAAGCGGAAGGAAATCAATGGAAAGGGGCAGGCCAAGGAAGCGACGGAAGCAGCGTAAACGCAAACATCAGCGGCTTAAACAGAGTGCAACAAGAGCAGCTGCAGCAGCGGGAGTCAACAACAGAATGCTGCCTGCAACCTATGAGATTTGGAGCAGCACCTACAAAAGATTGCTACAGTGGCATCAGGCACAGGTGCACAGCTTCTGTCGTCAGCAACCAAATGGTGGCAGTTCCACAAGTGAGGGTGAGGATAGCTTTGGCGTCGACGATGATGCGGAGGAGGAGGAAAAACTGCAGCCAGATTGTAATGTGGAACTTGTTGATGATGATGATGACAATGATGTGGAACAAGTGGATGCTGATTATTTAGAATTTCTCCAGATTACTCTCAAGCATCAGGAGGAGCTGAGAAAATTGCGTGCCGCACAACAAACAACAACAACAACAGCTGAAAACTGACTGCAAACATGAAATCCAACGAAAAATCTATTTTAATGTTAGCCTTAAGTATATGTATCTAAGACAACAGTGGAACTTCGCTAACTTGAACTAATGCTTCATTTATACTCCATTTATGGAAAATAGATTTGTATACAATAACTACATATACTTTGAAGATTCGCTCTTAGTTTAAGTTAGAGAAGTTCTACTGTAAAAGAAAACAGTTTTGTATTTTGACATCACTTTTTGAGTAAATGCTGATAACTGCCCAAAAAAAAGAAAAGAAAACTAACTGAAAACCGTAGAAGGTTTTCGCACTGATGGTGTAGCAAGGTGTGGGGGCGTTGCGTGTGCCACTTAACTGTTAAGATCGCAGAAAGAGCAGCTGCAATCTTTCCCAGAACGGTCTTTTTGTTGGCCAGGCTAATGAAGTTGAGAAGACGTAACTTTAAACTGACCAAGACAAATGCGAGGCAATCTGTTAACACATTTCTTCAGCTTCAAATTAAAGCTGTGGCATCAGGAAAGAAAGAGAGAGGGAGAAAGAGAGTGCGGCAAGTGGAAGGCATCAGGGCAACTTTGATAAAGATGAGCAGCAGCAGCCGGGAGATTTCTTTCGTTCTCCTTTTCCCTAACTGAGTCATCAGTGGAATATGAATGACTTTTTTTTATTTTTATTTTTTGGTTGGGCGTGGCAAGGCATTAGTCGCCTTTCGCGCAGCATTTCGACAGCAAACCCTAATTAAGTTGGCCAAAGAGACACAGTTTCGTGGACGCAGCGCAGACAATATCACTTGCCACTTGCCACTTGCCGCAGGTGTCGCAACTAGAAAAGCAGCAGCAAACTTTCTATGAGCATTGCATAGATAAATCAAATCAGTGGGCGAGCAGCAAACAACTGCAAAACTGCTCAGCTAATAAGAGGAACACTTGCAAGTCTTGCAAATAAATTGCCTGTGTGGAAATAGAAAGTTTAGCTCAGAATAAACAGAGGAAGCATTTATGTTCAGACATTATTGAAAATGGCCGCCAAACTGAAGCAGCAAAAGTTGCCATCATTGTTGCTGTTGCTGTTCCTGTTGTTGTTGTTGTTCTTGCGACAGCTGTGTGAAGCAGCAGCAGACCTCTAATTAAATGGGTGTAGCTGTTGAATGCTGCTAATAACCAACTGGGCAGCAGCAGCAGCAACAACAGCCGATGCAACAACAGCAACAACAACATAGACCAGGCAACGATGTGAAAAACAAACAAGCCAAACCCAAAGGGCTGCTCATCTTGCTTCTTCATCCTGCTGCTCTGCTGGCCACCTGTTGCCGTCTCTTTCGGCATGTTGCCCAGTCTTTTGGTTGAGCACACTCTGCTAACGGGAACCATTTTACTTTGGCTAATTAAGTTAACTTTATTATGAATTATGCAATTAAACATTAACATTTTTTGTTCTCAATTCCACAATATCCAACTGGGAACAATTCCAAATTTTACTACTGTCATAACTTCGTGAAAAGTGAACCAATTCCGAAAAGCTATGCATTTTTAGTTACGGTTTGGCATCTAGAATAATACTATATTTTAATTGATTTTTCGCTTAATATTTAGTTAGGAATTCTGTCCCATTTAGCGTCGGGTCAACTTTGTCAAAAGTCATTCAATTTTCAAACAACAAAAGGCTTCTTTATCATTGTTCGATCTTTTGAATATTACTTCTTGGTCATACCACACTCAACGTTGGAAACGCAATTGTAGCTCAAAATCCATGTAAAAATGCTCCACATTGTGGGTCACATTTTCCACTATCATAACTTGGTCAAAAGTGAATAGATTCTTAAGCGTAATACAGTTTAAGTCATAATTAAGCATCAGCATTAATACTACCTTTATATTTAGAAACGCATCTTTTACATTTTAATCGCTCAAATGTAAAAATAATTTCTCAAAAATTCGCTACTTCAATATTTTAGTCATTTTAGCATTAAATGCAATCAAATTATACTTTATTTTTCTTGCTATATTTATGCATATCTCTCTATAAATTTATCTGAGTTTCTAAAAATGTATTTCAATCTTCAATTTGATGTGCGTGTTTCTCATCTTTACTCAAGTTTCTGTGTTTTATTTAGTAATATTTCTATCTTTTATTTTTCTGTTTCTTCTGCTTGTATTTTAAGTTGAAGTTTTGCCAAAATGTGCATCCATCGTTGAGATCTCGGTTTGGGTCTGGGCACCTTATTATTATTATTATTGCTGCTATTGTTGTTGGCCAAAAGATGAAAAGAACAATCCGCAAAGTGTTTATGCATTTATTGTGGTCGCTTTGGCGGCACTGGCTGACTAAAGTAATTTAGCTGACTTAACCAACGACAATGGCGCCTTTTTCTTTATTATTTTTTATTTTTTTGCTCAGATACGCTGGAATGTGGCTCCATTAAATTGCGGGCCTACTACAAGATTTGTTGTTGTTGCTGCTACTGCTGCTGTTTTGTTTATTTGTCGCACTGCACTTGCAATTTAATTGATTTGTAGGCAACAATTTGTCTGGCATCCACATATCTCTCTCCCTCTCTCTCTCTCTCTCGCTTTGAGTCCCTCCCTATCTGTCTCTGTTTGTCTCTTTCTAGTTGGCCTGCATTCGAACAACAGCAGCAGGTTTTCATAAATGATATGCACAACACATACAACAAACACATCAAGATCTTTAGATCTCCGTTTTCTGTGTCGGGGGTGTTTTCCATATCGCATGCTAAATCAAAAAGACTCTGGCTGCAAATTATGCGACGGAATGTGCAACATGTTGGCGCAACAGATGTAAAAAGGATATGCCGAATATTCAATACTCTTTTGAGTACATATTTATCATAAGCAAAAAAGTTATTATATTGTTTTTAATCGTATTTATTTATTTGTATTAAAAGTTAAAAGCTAACCAAAAGAGAAAAGGGTCAGTTTATCCCAATAAAAAGAATCAGGCAAATAATTCTGATATGCTTACTTTTTTTGAATTGTGGAAAATTGTGTTTATAAAGTAAATTAAATATTTAGGCATTAGAGTACCAACTATAAAGCCTACACCTCAATTTTTATTCCTATTGATATTCACATGAGAACAATAGCTTTGATAGATAAATAAATTGAAAGCTCGTGTTAAAAAATGCTTAATTTGCTTAAATGCATTAATTAATTATTTATAAACATATTTTTTATCTCTACTCTGTCTATCTCCACTCTCCTTCCCTCCCACAGTCTCTCTACTCTCCTAACTCTCTTTACGTATCTATCTTTCACACGATATAGATATATATATATTGCTCTCTTTCTTGCTGTCCCTCTCTGACAATTCGCTACAAATAATTATTATTAACACCAAAAGCGGCAACAAAATCGCCAACGCAGCTGCCACCTTTTGCACCATCGCCTGCGCCGCCTCCGGGCCAAGCTAAGGCAAGCGGAGGCAAGCTCAGCAATCAATCAAAATGCGCTCCAGATCCGGAGCCGATGCGTAGATTTATATCAGCGCCTTGACGATGTGTCAGCAACTGTTGCTGATGTTGTTGTTGCTGCAGTTGCTGTTGCTGTTGCCGCTGCACCGATTTGGCTGCACAGGGGATGCTGTTTGGGATTTGCTGACAGCCAAGACGCCGCATAAATGCAAGACTCAGAGTCAGAGTCAGAGTCAGGAGTCAGAAGTCTAGAGTCAGAGCCAGAGTCACTGCCACTGCCGATTATGAGATGATTGCTTAAGATGACAACGAGCAGGCTGAGATAGAAGCGTAGAGACTGAGAAGTTGGCGATCTTCAGAGTTGAGTCAGTGGCTCTGTAAGCTGTTGGCTGTTGGCTGTTAGCTGTGGCCCACTGTGAATGTGAATGGCATCACAAGGAATGAACACACGAATCGAGGCACGAGGAATGCCCCAGCGAGTGGCAGCAATAAAAATGACGTTCCAGATTATTGCGCACAGACAACAACAGCAACAGCAACAGCAACAACTGCAACAACAACTAGCAGCAACAGCAACTAGCAACAACAGCTACTAGCAGCCAGTCAGCAAAAAGGACCAGCCGCAGACAATGGGGCACTCAGGAGGGGCTGATGCTGTACGTGGTGTGTGTGGGAGGGGTAAGGGGGAGGGGCGTGTGGGGCACACTCACAGACATGAGCAACGACACATGAACGTGTTCTGAAGCTGATGATGCTTACGCGCTTTTCAAGTTCCACACATAGTTGCTGTCATTATTAAAGACATTTTCAACTACATTCTAGTAGGTACTTAATTTTGCTGCTGCAAGAAAGAAAAATATAAAAAACACATATATATATATATATATATATACAAATATATTTTACACCAACTTGAGGGGGCGGCGGAGGGAGAATGCCAACCTCACACGCACTCGAAACTGAGAGAAGTCGTGGCTCCAGCGTCAATTGGGTCTGCATACAGCAAATGATGAAAGAATTAACCGAATAAATTCGGTTTAATTTAACTAACTAACTAATTTTTGGTGTGGTTACGGTTAGTTAAAGTACGATTTGAGCTGTATTTTTTTCTGGAAACAAGTGTACAAAAACGGAGGGACAGTTTCTTGATTTGAATTCAAATAAATATGCTTGATTTAAACATTAAACTCCAGGTGGAAATACACTTAATTTTACGTCTTAATCCAGGCAAAAGGAAACATCTCGGACTCGATTAAGTATCTATATTCTTGATCCGCATCAAACGTTCTAGTCCGTCGAACTATAACTGTCTTTCTATCTGTTCGAATGTCCACCCGTCTATATATTATATATATATATCAGTCTATATATTTTCTCGTACACCAATTTCATTTACGGTATGAATATACCTTGACATAATATTGATCAAATGAAACAAGGAACTGCAACATGGAAGAATATCGCGGATTTATATTGACCAACTAATATCCAGACCCAGCCCGCACATGCATACATTGTTGACTTGCTTTGTGATTTGTTAACTAAGCAGCAGCGCAGATCTTTTAAGTACATTGCGTTGTAGACAATGCCAAAATCCTTTTGGGCAGAACGGCAACAAAAAAGGCTGCAAAATGTTGCAGTCTGGGAAAAAAGGCGAAAAAATTGATGAGTTAATTAACGCGCATCGCCAACATTCCGGGCGACTAATAACCAAGTTGTAGATGACCACAACGACGTTGGCGATGCCGATGCCAATGCCAATGCCAATGCCAATGATGATGATGATGATTTTGCTGTTGATGATGACTGCAGCAATTGCCATATTTATGAGCAATGTTGCAGGCAGCA